GAAATTAGCGCTGAAAAAGACTTTTGAATTGGTTTCCAAAGTGGCCATTATATTTGCCCACAACTGGTCTTCCATTTGGCCAGTGAAGTGGTATCCGTATTGGCTTCTCAATCAGCCTTGAAAAAGACATTCCAAACGGCCTCCAAAGTGGCCTGAAAAATATCTTCCCAAGTGGCTCAGAGTGGGCCATTGAATTGGCATCCTTATTGGCTTCTCAATCAGCCTTGATAAAGACCTTCCAAATGGCCTCCAAATGGGCCTGAAAACTTGCCTCCCAAGTGGCTTCAAATTAGCCAGTGAAGTGGCATCCTTATTGGCCTCAAAATTAGCCCTGAAAAAGACTTGAAATCGTCTCCAGAGTGGCCAGTATATTTGCCCACAAGTGGTCTTCCAATTGGCCAGTGAAGTGGTATCCTTATTGGCTTCTGAATCATCCTCGAAAAAGACACTCGAAAAGGCCTCCAAATGGGCCTGAAAACTTGCCTTCCGAGTGGCTTCAAAATGGCCAGTGAACAGGCATCCTTATTGGCCTCCACTTTAGCCCCAAACAAAACATTTGAATTGGCCTTCAAAATGGCCATTATACTTGCTCCAAGTGGCTTTCAAATTCGCGGGTGAAGTGGCTTTCTCAGTGGGCCCTTAATTAAACTGGAAAGTGGCCTTCAAAATAGCCTCAAAGGTGGCCTTTAAACTTTCCTCAAATTGGCCTTGGAATTGGCAAATGAAGTGGCATTATGATTTGCTTCCGAATTAGCCCTGAAAAACCTTTTGAATTGGAGTCCAAAGTGGCCATTATATTTGCCCCAAGTGGTTTACAGATTGGCCAGTAAAGTGGCATTCTTATTGGCTACACAATCCGCCTTGAAAAAGACCTTCGAAATGGCATCAACGGTGGCCTTTAAATCTGCCTCGAAACTGGCCTCCGAATTCGCCAGTGCCATTTCACTGGCCAATTCGAAGCCACTATGGAGGCAAATTTTAAGGCCACTTTGGATGCAATTTCGAAGGTCATTTTCCAGGTTAATGATGAGGCCACTGACAATGGAACTTCACTCGCCAATTGGAAAGCCATATTGGGCAAATATAATGGCCACTTTGGAGGCCAATTCAAATGTTTTGTTTCAGGCTGAATTGAAGGCCAATGAGGGTGCTGCTTCACTGGCCAATGGGAAGACCACTTGGGGCAAATATAATGGCCCCTTTGGAGGCAAAATCAAAAGTGTTTTTCAGGGCTATTTCGGAGGCAAATCAAAATGCCAATTCATTGGCCAATTTGAAGGCCATCCTCAATGCAAGTTAAGAGGCCACTTTGGAGGCCATTTTGAGAGTCATTTTTACTTTTAAGAAAGAGGCCACTAAGAATGCCACTTCACTCGCCAATTTGAAAGGCAATTAGAGCAAATATAATGGCCACTTTGGAGGCCACTTAAAATGTTTTGATAGGGGCTAATTTGGAGGCCAATAATGATGCCAATTCACTGGCCAATTTGAAGCCATTTGGGAGGCAATTTTTCCGGCCACTTTTGAGGCCAATTCGAAGGTCTTCTTCAAGGCTGATTGAGAAGCCAATAAGGATACCACTTCACTGGCATATTTGAAGCCATTTGGGAGGCAATTTTTCTGGCCACTTTGGAGGCCATTACGACGGTCTTTTTTAAGGTTGATTGAGAAGCCAATAAGGATACCACTTCACTGGCCAATTAGAGGACCATTTGTAGGTAAATATAAAGGCTACTTTGGATGTTCATTCAAAAGTGTTTTTCAGGCCTAATTTGGAAGCAAACCAGAATGCCACTTCACTGGCGAATTTGAAGGCCAATTTGGAGGCAGATTTAAAGGCCACCTTTAAGGCCATTTTGAAGGTCTTTTTCAAGGCATATTAGAAGCCACTAGGAATGCCACTTTACTGGCCAATCTGTAAACCACTTTGGGCAAATATAATGGCCACTTTGGAGGCCAATCAAAGGTCTTTTCCAGGGCTAATTCTGAGGCAAATCAGGATGCCAATTCACTGACCAATTCGAAGCCACTTGGGAGGCAAATTTTGAGGCCACTTTGGAGGCCATTTCGAAGGTCTTTTTCGAGGCTGATTGAGAAGCCAATAAGGATACCACTTCAGTTGCCAATTTGAAGACCACTTGTAGGCAAATATAAACGCCACTTTGGACTCCAATTCAAAAGGTTTTTCAGGTTTAATTCGGATGCAAATCAGGATGCCATTTCACTGGCCAATTCGAAGCCACTTGGGGGCAAATTTTAAGGCCACTTTCGAGGCCATTTTGAGGGTCTTTTCTAACGCTGATTGGGAAGAAAATAAGGATACCACTTAACTGGCCAATTGGAAGACCATTTTTAGCAAATATAATGGCCACTGTGGAAACAAATTCAAAAGTGTTTTTCAGGGCTTATTCGGAGGCAAATCTGAATGCAAATTCATTGGCCATTCTGGATGCAATTTTAAAGGCCACTTTGGAGGCAATTTTGAAAGTCATTTTTAAGGTTAATTAAGAGGCTACTAATAATGCCACTTCACTCGCCAATTTGAAAGCCACTTGGGGCAAATATAATGGCCACTTTGGACGCAAATTCTAAGGTCTTTTTCAAGGCTGATTGAGAAGCCAATAAGGATACCACTTGACTGGCCAATTGGAAGACCACTTGTGGGCAAATATAAGGGCCACTTTGGAGGCCAATTTAAAAGGTTTTTCAGGGCTGATTCGGAGGCAAATCAGAATGCCACTTCACTTGCTAATTCCAAGGCCAATTTAGAGGCAAATTTAAAAACCACGTTTGAGGCCATATCGAAGGTCATTTTCCAGGTTAATTAAGAGGCCACTGAAAATGCCACTTCACTTGCCCATTTGAAAGCCACTTGGGGCAAATATAATGGCCACTTTGGAGGCCAATTCAAAAGTCTTTTTCAGGACTAATTCGGAGGCAAATCAGAATGCGACTTCACTGGCCAATTCTTAGGCAAGTTTAAAGGCCACTTTGGAGGCCATTTTTAAGGTCTTTTCCCGGTTTGTTAATATGTGTAATGGTAAATTCTCGTCTTTTGCCCTTGATGGCCCGAGGCACTTTAAGCCTGCGACTCGGAGTCAATTCTCTTGTGTATTGACTCGTCATCTTTTACTATAGGCTGTTTTTATTTTCAAATTACTTTCTAATCGTAAACCAAGTTACTTTCCTAATTACGAATAAGAAAGACAACGCAATCGATGATACACCCACCGCAAAAAAAAGATCTTCGTATTTGCCCAATAGATCGCACTTGTGGAAAGTTTCATGTCTCCTTTCAGCCAACACCTCTTGAATCTCTAAAACCATGTCTCCTTGGTGATCTACGTCGGCACGCATGTCACCAAGCATGCCCTGGATGTTTGTTTGATCGGCTAAAATTTCTGCCAATTGGTCTTTAATCTCTTGATCCATGTTTTAATTTAAAAATTAAAAGCCTGCATTTTAAAATGGCGAGCGCTTTAATGATGGTAGGAGGAGCCATAGTCAACGCATTGGCATTTACAGGCTCAAATTCTTTATTTAACAGCTTATCTAAAAATAGAGTAAACGAGGAACGTAAACGATATGACCTAGCTATGGAACAACTGGCACAAGCAAAACAAACTTGGGAAAAAATCGCGTGCACTATGCTGGACTTTTTAAATGAGCGCATGAGGCAAGAGCGTGCGAGTCAACAGACATTTGTCAACTTCGACGAGGCATTGCGCGCTAATGCTGAATTGACCCGTAAACAGGTTACGTCGTTGCCGCCGGAGCCCAAGTTGCCCGATGCCTTCAGAAGACCAGAAAGTTCGTGAGTTGGTTTGGACCGCTTTGGTCGGTTTTTTGGCTTACTGATTTGGAATTAAGCTAGTTTTTTTTTAACTAACTTTATTTCAAATGGAGAAAGAATTTTCAAAATTGTTTTACAGCCCGCAAGGATATTGGAAGTTCCGTCGGTCACTTGCATCAAAAGACGGGGCAGACAAGTCGCCTGTGAGATCCTGGTTAAAAAGCAAGCAGTCTGGCAAATTTATTTACCTGCGCCCAAATACATAACTAGGCCGACAATGTTGCAATCAGACTTTATAAGTACCAAATGAGGCGCACCAATTGGACGTGTTATACTTGCCTTGGGATCGAGTAAACTGTAAAACTTTTAAATATGCTTTGACCGTTGTTCACATGGGGTCGAGATTTAAGAGGCAGAACCGTTGACCAGTAAAACGACCGCACAAACGTCGGAGGCCGTTAAACGGATTTACAAAGGTCGCCTCTAACTTGGCCTAAATTTGTTATGGTAGACTCGGGATCAGAATTTACAGGCGAATTTAAAAAGTTGTAGGCCAAACACGAGGTCAAAATTCAAGTGGGCGAATCCGGCGTCCATCGGTCGCAGCATCGATTGAACGGTTTAACCGAACATTGACCGGCGAGCGTTTATTTGGTCATAAATATGCACAAGAAATGTTAAACGTAGGCGAACGTAACGTAGAATGGGTAAAGCGTCTGCCCCAAGTATTAAAATCGCTCAACGAGGAAAAGACTCCATCCAACAAAAAACTTGGGATATTTCTGCTCGTACGGTATCTGACGCCCAAGCAATTTTTGAAGGGCAAAAAATCTGAGAGAAAGACGAGATTTGACAATAGTCTCGTAACTTTGCAATAATCACGGTTTCTAAACCAAATCGCATTAACATTATGATTAGGCGTATTGCTTCGTGAGTACATATATATACTGATTTTTGTGGTTCCACAGTAACAAGAATTAATTAATTATTCGATATTTTGATTTCCCGGCTGAGTTGAGTACACTTTCCTGATGCATTAGTCATCCTTGCTAAAAATATTGTACCGGTTTTACCACGGTTCACTAATTTTCGAGTACGTGGTTCCCGTCAGTGCGCCCGTCAGCAATACCCATTCCCGAATGGTCCACTGAAACAGGAAATGATGAATCTTTCATAGTGTGTACCCAGACTGTACAAACACCTTCGTAGTCCGACCCTTGCATCCACTGAATTGAAGTTTACGATTGGCAGCACCAGACTGGTGTAATTCTTCAATACAACAAGTAGTAGTACGTGACGTGTGTACGGTGTACATCGCCTATCCTGAACTTCTGTAAACAGGCCAAACAACTTTCTAGTCGTCTGTGTGGTAAGTTATAGTTTTAAGTGTTTTGCCAGGACAGCTGGTTTCTGATTACTCATATGAGTTAAAAGCTTATTTATGTATGCACCCTTCATCACATTGTTTTGCTGATCAAACTTATTTTAGCGACAGATACTTTTTTACATGTAGATGAGTTGGCGGATGAGTAATAATGAAAAAACAAACAAAAAAGGAATAGAGTTGCAAAAATACTGACCTTCCGTTTGATGCTTGACTGGCTGCGTCCATTGCTTGTGCGTATGTCATACAAGTTTCGATTGTGATATAGGGTGTTTCTAGTATTAGTACACTGATGGGAAAGAAAATAACATGTCAAGAAATGTGAAATCATACTTTGGTCTGTCTGCCATTAAGTAAGAAACTAGCAGTTAGCACTGGTGTGCTGTGTACAAAATAGGACTAATCATGACAATTATTGAGTCCAGCACCATGGATGTATTATATACAGCCATGACCAATTATTCAAATACATACATGTATTTTTATTACATGATTTCCATTTATTTCCTAAAGACAGAGGTAAAAGTTAGATGCTGCTTGTTAAAGTCTGAAACTGAAAGATCGGTCACAAGTTTGAAACTGAGATCCAGATCCCTCCAGTTAACATGAAGAAAATATGAATTTATAAATGTAAATAAACATGTAAAACTAAAATGTGAATGAAAGATTGAGAAAAGTAAGTGAAAATAACAACAAGAAAAGCCATGCCAACAGAGAGGCTTGTTGAGATAGTCACACTGCATTAAATTTAAGGGATACAATGGCACACCCAATATTAATAATGGTGCAGATTTTTCAGTGAAGTCTATCATAACTGTAACTGGCCTAATTTGTGGTCACTTCTACCTTTTTTGCACAATTTGCAAAGTATGATATAATAAAATATTAAGCATGTGGGTAAACTATGAGTTTTTTGGTTTAATGCAAATGGCAGAATTAATTTGTGGTTTCCCACATACATAAACTTGGATGCAAAATAGTTAAATGTTGCAGTACTTGTAAGTACTTGATATTGTCAGCAGCAACTCAGTTAAAATCAGTAACCAAACATTTCAGAACCCAGCCAACCTTTACAGTTGTGTCCCACTATTTTCTTTTAAAATGATAGTTTTATTACCTCATACATTTACATGTTCCTCTTCAAATTTTTTTTTAAATGCCCAGATATTTTGTATTAGTAATATAATCAGACCTGTTTGATAAACTCATAATGAAAAACTTAAATCTATATAGCTTTTTATGAATAAACAGTTCCTTCAAAATGGACTTCTGTTGGTGTTTCCCACCAGACCCATGTATAGATTGCTATGCTTACAAAGTCACAAACTTTCATTGGTGGAAAGGAAGTCAGTGTGATTGTAACATGTATAATCAATGGAGATAAGTGTGATATTTTGACTGAAGGGGATGAATGCAGGATGGAAGAAATGTGTATGAATGAATGATTGAATCTACCAGTATATATCAGTCCAAAACACAAGTACTTCCTGGTTACCACCCCTACTTACAAAATCATGCAAAACCTGTATTTTAACAACAAATGAAAACTAATGGTGCCAATCTAGAGCCTTTTTTGTGTACTCTATTCTGTAGTTTGTATGGATTATATTTAACCATTAAGTTAATGATACAGTTTGTTATAAAAAAAATGTACAGTTAGTGCATTTCATTTCACATTGTCACAAACAAAAACTTTTAAATACGAGAGCTAATTTGAACTGCCTACCCAACCTAATTATAATTTTTTTCTAGTGTGAAAGGAAACACAGCTTTTTTTAAATTTGGCATGATCATTTACCCAGCGTGATACTATAACTGTGTATGGAACATAGTGGTCATTCAGTGAGTTGAAACTTTGTTTTATAACAACAATCACACAAGTCAGTGACATTTCAAATCCTTAGCCTGACTGGCCTTGGACCTTGTCCACACGCACTGCATTCTGGAGGACAAGTGGAGGTTGGGGCAGGGGTGATTGCTGCAAATGTAGTCTGGTTTAGTGATGGACGATATGAGCCTCACCATACATGAACATGTACATGTACATGTATGCTGACTTTTAAGAATCAATGATTTGTTTCAGAATCACCTGTCAATGAGACGTAACCAGAGGGCAGGAACCACTTCAGGCTGTCAGCAGGAAAATCTTCTACCTTTGATGCCACCTCCTGAAATAACAATTCATTTGCATCTTGTCTAGTGGAGGAATGTTTAGGCTGCTGCATGTATTGTTAACTTATTGACAGAAAAGTTGGAAGGAAACACAGCAAAGCCGTGATTATCAAGCATGGAATGCACTGCCCGCTATGATTTCACAGCTAAAAGATCAGATGAGTTGTCGTTCAGGGAGGGAGACACTCTTAAGGTAGGCACAATCATTACCTGCTTCACATACCGGTCCATGTAACCATTGCAACCATTCTTTGCTTTAAGCTCATTCAAGCTGGATTTTTTAGGATGGCTTCCTTGATTGTTAATTTTGCCACACATACCCTAATCCCAGAATGCCTCTGAAACTGTGTGGACCTATGCAAGTCCTCACAATGTCTTCTAATCCCACAGTATGTGGACATCTTTTGTTGGGAGGTCCACACCAGGTGTGTAGGCTAGCGCACATGCAGGCTTGTCTCTCACGTGCAGCAGACTGCTTGGCAAAAGGCAGGAATGTACCAAAACCTGGGCACCCAACTAACTGGTTACCCAAAGAATTGGGTACCAGAAGAAATGGGTTGAAGTTGAAGACCTTGTAACCCAAAGAATTTGGTACCAAAAACTTGGTATCCAAAGAACTGGGCACTCACAGAACATGGGTACTGAAAGAACCGATTCAGTACCTGGTTCTATTTCACAGTTACAGTAGTCATCCACAACTAATGCCGTGAATTCCAAGTAATCATTCCCTGATTTGTTATGCATATTTACCAATTCCCCTGTTTGATATGTACACATTACTTCTCTGCTGCTGTTTAATCCAGATATTTCATCTTCAGACCTGCTATTTCTCTACCCCTCGACATGGGATTGAAAATTGCCAACAAATTTCAATATAGTTAAACATTTGGGAGGGAGGTAGGTGTGTTTTTGAACATGAAAGGTTTCAGTCACATATTGTACATGTATGTGTGTGCATATGTTGTTTGCTCCAGATGGGAATACCTTACGGAGACAAACACAGCTTTAATCTTGTCGCATCAAATGTTATTATGTATGTTACCATCTGTGTTATAATCCAGGCACTCTTTCCTGCCAGCTCATTTTTCACTTCGCGTATCATGAAAATTACAAAGCACTGAAATTGTACAAAATGATGATAATAGAGTGAAATCTGATATTTTTCACATCACGAACGAGTTCTTTGAATTTGTTTCCATCGATTGAATGACAGTGAAGTGATTCTTTGATCAGCTTTCGTTTTTTAATTAAAAGTATCATCATTTGATTTGCCATGATTTCTTGTCCAGTTAAAATTTGTTATTACTGAAAAGGGCTAATTCCTCAAATTGAATACCAAAATCATCTGTCATTTATGAAATCTTCTGATATCTTTGTTTAGGTGATAATTGATCCAGAAAAGAACCAGGAAGATGACTGGGCAATGGCAGAACTGAGAGGCAGGACCGGAATGGTTCCCAAGAACTACATCACCAGCCCCGAGTGAGCTTACATCTCATCATCTCAATAAGCAGTATTTATAAAAATGGAATTATGGCCTAATAAGGAATGAACTTTCAAAGGCTTAGTTTTAAGTTTCCAACAAATTAAAAACTCCAATAATTAGATGAAACCACAAAAGAGGAATGAGGAAGCGGACAATTGGCTTAACAGCTTACACAGAGTATGGACAAAGCACTTTGTAGACTGTATAGAAGAGCTGTCATGTCTGAGTGCCACATCTCACTGTGTCCCACTCCTGGGTAGCCAGTTGGTATATGCACAGAGCAGACTTTCATGATGGCATTACGTCATTTTGTTTACCAAATGTTATGAAATACGAAATGACCAACTAAAACCTAAAAGACAAAAGTTGTTGATTTTAGATACATGTACATATACTGTGCATATGAGTGTTGAATGTTATTCCACACCATGGAAACAAAATGAACCACAGAAAATAGCAAAACATAGGTCTCTGTCTTTGAAATACTCTCTTAGTATTGTTGATTATTTGCCACAGGAACATAAAAACTTGTAGAATATAAAACCAAAGATGGAAACCCTTTTCATTTGAACTCTGCATTTAAAAAAAGGCCCATGTGATGTTTGTACTCTAGATGGTTTTACAGAGGTCTGTCCAGAGCCAAAGCTGAGGAGATTCTGCTAGACAAGGAGCCGGATGGTGCCTTCCTCGTCAGAGAAAGTGAAAGCTCCCCAGGAGATTTCTCACTTTCCGTCAAGTGAGTGTGCAGTAATATTCAAAGAAAAATGGACTCACAGACAAGGCTCTTTGCTTCGCTAAATTTGGCAGCATGTCATGGGGCCAAAGCATTCGGCTTAGATGGAGCGGTCAATGGTAGGGAGTAAGGGTGTTACTTGATCGTGCCAAGGCTGGTGTTTCTACAGTGTTCTGCCTGGTGTCACAAAATCCATCATTGCATTTTTGTTGCATTCAGCTGGGGCCTTGCTTCAGCTTTGTTGGGCTTGCCTCATTGCGGGAGGGGGATGACAGTGGAAAGATCTCACTCCCCCCTCTCTTTCTTCCAGATTTGGCAGTGGGGTGCAGCATTTTAAAATCTTGGTCGATAAGGCGACTCGCCGAGTATTCTTATGGGTGAAGAAATTTGACACCATTAACGGTTTAGTCGACCACTTCAGGAGGAACAGTGTGAGCAAAACAAACAACAAGATGGTCCTCAGGGACATGGTCAAAAAGAAAGCTTCTGTCACGGTGAGTACTTCTTTGTTACAAATTGAGGCTACATGTCAGTTGAACTGTCCAGTGATAAATGGGTACATCCCTTGTTGTCCCTCCCTTGACTTAGAAGCGGGGAGATCAAACATTCATCAACTTTGATGTATGTGTACCATTAAGCTGGTCAAATTGCCACTTAACTTGATAAAGGTCATGACCTAGAAGGTCTAAACTCAACTATGATAGTGCTTTTATACTAGACCTATGGCAATGGCAGTAGCCATGGAATGAATTAGATTTAAAATACGTATTTGTACATGACTTGAATGGCTCCTGCCCGGCTGTTAAAAGAGATTGACTGAGGGGTAAAATTCTTAGCTTATGATTTCTGAGTGCAAAAGAACGATACCGTAGAATTTACACATCCAAGTGGTGATAGTGAAATTGTGACTGTGGAAAGATTGCCCCAATGTGCATGGTGATTTACACAGAGAACTGTGCTTGTTGTCTAGCAGGATTCACATAATGCAAATGGATTCACCAACAAACAGCAGCACACCACTCAGAAGCAGCACTATGTGAGTGACAGCACACTCTAGCATGTTGCAGGCTGGCATTATTCGAAATAGTGCTCTGTAATTTGAAGAAAACTTTCATAAATTGCATGGCATGTTATTCTGTGTAATAAGTTCCCAAGCATGCTGAGGGAAGAAGCGTTACTTACCAGATATCAGCGAAATGGTTCCTGGGCATGGGCTTGTTGTTTTGTCTTGAGTGAAATGCAGAGAAAGTTTAAAGTTTGGCATGATTCAGAACGGTAGACTTGTGCACGTGTCTGATTTTTCATTGCCTAGGGACGATGTGTGCCAGTCATAGGCCAATGTCCTCTTTGACAGGCACAGCAAAGGTGTGTAACTATGGAGTTTCCATTGCCCAGTTAGTCACTGGACGCCGGATGAAGTGTAAACATACATAAGTTTCTTTATTTGTTCCGCGGAGGTTGTGTACAGTTGTGTAAGAATTCTTTTTTCATTTCTGCGGTTGATGTATTAACATATTGTGCTTTGTTGGGTCAAAGCAAATTGCAAGGTTGAAGAATTTTCACGGAAAAAACCCTCCTCCAGCAGCTCTTTCGGGTAACAAAATCTGATGTCAACTGGTTAAATGCATCGTCAAGACATAAAGGCATCGCACTACATTGTTTTAACTGCAAGGCATTCTAGGATAACAGCTCTACTGCAGTGTGCCTTTCTATTTTGTTCAGAGCAATTTGTACAGTATTAAAATTTGATTTTATTTGGTTATGTTTTGCACGTGCTACAAATTAACTGGTATGCTGATAGGCTTTTCCAGCACAAGGCAAGAAACAGGATTAACACAGTTTTTAAGTGGATAATGGTTTCATTTAGTCAGAATACTGATAGGCTATAAAGGTACTTTGCTGTGACTGCTTTTGGTAGTCCCATGTTTGCCATGGAGCCAAAAACAGACCAAATGTTGGGCCTAAGCTTCTCACTCCTACATGCAACTGGCCATGTTGCAAACTATGTTGTAGTTACTTTGTCTCATAGGGCCACATGTGCATGCATTACCAACTCAAGTTGCTGAGATCAAAATTTGAACCAAAGACATGTAGTTGATTTGTTCATCTGTACAGGACTCAATACAAGGAGCCTGTGGTTCAAACGGAATAGCCGGCCAGTTTCAGCAAAAACAAGTGAGTGATTAAGCTTTTCTAGCAGCGGGTTTCAGCTAAATGAGATCGTTCATTTCGTGGGGAAAGAGAGAAATGCTAGCAAGCTTACCTCCCAAATGTGCGTGCAACAAGAAAAACTTAAAGGCCCATATTGCAGGACCCAGAGACAAATGGACATTTTAGGTGTGTGCTGTGTGTCCAATAACACAGTTTAAATGTGGGTTGTGAAGAATGGATTAGAAAGCAGAAGTCATTAAATTTGAAACTGATATGGTACATTTTGAATTTGTTGTGCAGATTATTGAGTCCCAGGGAAGCACAGGAAATGTCAACATACCTTTAACAATCCACATTGCACCACTACTGGTACATCCTGGATGGCAGCACACATCAAAAAGAAACATGTCGTTCAAATGACATGGCAATGAAATACTACTTATGTTGCAGATATGGCTAATAATTGCTCATCCATCAAATGTTACCTAATTGTTGGAGTCTGTTTTACATGCAGTTTTATCCCCTGTTTGTTGCAATGTTTATTATTATTTGTGTATTCAGAGTCAGTGGGGGAAGGTAGCCCAACAGAAGGTGATGAAGCCTCCAGTGGACCTAAAGCCTAGGGTGAGTTGCTGTCAACCATTTTATGTATTTGTGTAATCGATGTATTTGTCTAATCTCACGTATTTGTGTAATTTGTAATATTGTTTTGGTTTTCTGACAAAGTTGCGCATGTGCTGTTTTGTATTATCTGAAATCCAGCCAGGTCACTTCAGTTGAGTTTGTGTTGAAGTCCGTCGATATGTTGTACGTAGCTCTTCTGTGAAAACAAACACTGAAACCCCTGATTGCACAACTAGTTCATGGAAAGTGGTCATCAATGTAGCAAACATCTGCCAGAGCCAAACATGCTTAATATTAGAGGGAACACTGTCACACTCAGTTCCTGTAGGTGCTTTATTTGCCCTTTGCAGTGGGGACACATGGCTAAAAGTTTTAATGTCTTTCAAACCACTTACATGTATGTTGGACATAAGTTTTATTGTTGAGCAAAGGAATAACCTGCAGTGTTTCCTCGAGAAGAGCCTTGACTTCTGACCTTTTGACCCGACAGGTCAAAGCGATGTACGACTTTGAGCCCCAAGATGACAACGAACTGGAACTGCGGGCCGGTGACATAGTGGAGGTATTAGACAACTCTGACCATGACTGGTGGTATGGCAAACTGAGAATGAAAAAGGGCCTCTTCCCCAGCACTTACGTTCAGGAAATAAAATAACTACTTTCAAATCCCCCCCTCCCCCACTTCCTTTTGCCCTTGCGGTGGTCAAAGGTCAACCGGGAAACACCATTTTTTTCCAGTCTTCAGTTTGATTGAATGTATATTTCTGAACTTGTAACGGCAAGAAAATCACCTTGAATACTGGCAAAAGGTCAGATGCATAGACTGTAAAGTGCGTAGGTCGCTTTTCTGTTTCACAATCTTTAACAAAGATTTAAATGACTCTATTAGTCTACCAGATACCAGTACAAAATTGAGAAAAAGACTGATGTAGCACCTTAAACTTGGCTCGTCCTCAAGCTGTGATTTTAAGACTTAGCTCAGATCTTAAGACTTGTTAGAAAAACCCAAAATAAGGCAGAAACACAACTTTACGTTACAAAAGGTTGGAATTCACACTGGAAGGCTTTCCAATGTAGAAATAACTAGAGTAACTTGTATTTTTTTTAAATGTCTGTTGAATCAGATAGTAGAATTGGGCAAGTTGGATTTGGGAGATTCAAAACAAAATGCAGTTTTACCCTTTCTTTTGTTCCCTATTTTCATGCCACATGTTGGATGACCTCAGTACAGTTTTTTAGGCACAAAAAAATTTACAGCTTGCTTTAAAATGCGCCAGGCATCATGGTTCTTGCCAGTCAGTTGAACAGGGATCCTTCATCTCAGCACTGATTTGTGATGATATGCAAAACCAATTAGCATACAGTGAGTTTACAATTCTTTTTGTTGTGATTTCCATTAGTTTGGTATGAAAAATAACAAAATCTGTCTCATGTAGACATGTAAAGAGCTTTAAAAGTGTAATGAAAAAAATTCCAAATTGGAATTGTTTCCATTTCTGAGTTTGAGATCAAAAGGGCAAACTTGAAAACAGATACATAACAAAATAGCCGAATTCAACCACTTTACCCAGAACATAATTATTGATTTTTATACAAAAGGAGAGTGCCGTGATCTCAGTTGAAGAGCAAGGAACAGTTTGTACAAGCAGATGTTAATCCATAATAATGACTTTTTTGACCCACTTGAGAAAAGGGTGTCATTGAAGACTGAGTTTGGTGAGACATAATTCTGGGATTGTTTCTTCTTTGCCATAACTGCCACTGCTGAGCAGTGTTTCAGACCTTGGACAATAAATTATTCTACCAAAAATGCACCTCGCATAACACCAAAACCTTTTCTAATGTGGGTTATTGTAATGAGAATTTTTTTCTGAATAAGGCATGCTATTACCATGATAAGTGCATCGCTACATTACTTGTAATCAGAAATTGACCAAATATTTAGAAAGAGCTGGCATAAATCATGACAGCCAAATCGAGACTCAAGAGTGCATTTTTCCAGTAGAAATGAGCTTGCAAGAAATACTTTTATTTTGAGATTTGTATATAGTATAATATTTTAATCTGTGGTATGCATGATTTTGAGAGTGGAGAGGAATGTATCTCCTTTCAGCATAACTGCAAAGTGGAAACCTGATGATCATGTAAGGTATATAATTTTTTCTTCCGTCAGATTCATAATTGCGGTAAGGAAACTTTAAGTGATACATGTACATACATGGATTTTGGCCAAGGGCAAGTTGCATGGAATTTCTACAGGACACATTTCACCATGTACATGATAGAAGGCTAACAATACATTATGCAGTGTATACTGTTTAGGACTGGTTCTTGGTCATTATGGTTTTAATAGTGACATAAATGCCTGGCCTTATCAGCTTGATGACAACGGTGTCCCTCGCTTTACTATAGCTGTGATCATGACATACCTAGCAAAATGTGACCAAGCATAGGTGCAGCTGATTGCTTAAAGAGAAAGAAGCTTCTTCTCTTTTCTGTTGACAAACTCTGGCTTTAGGTTGCCCCTGTCAGACAACATTCAAATTTGCTTTTGAGGAAGTATAAATTCACAGTAAAGAGTGCAAAGTTTGTTTCCACCACTTATATTTTTGGATAGTGTTCATATTTTTGTGAAGACACCCCTTTTAGCAGTGCTGCTTGTGCTTGTCATGACCTCTAGCTGTATTTTTTCAAGAGTTACATGTATACCCTTGCAGGCTGTTAAGGCATTTTTTGTTTGTGCAGCCTTATATTGTTTATTTCAGAATCTCACCACAGCTGTAAATTATCGATGAATATTATGTACTCCAGTAATGTACTGACAGGGATCAGGTTTATAGCCAACTGAAACTTTGATGCATAACTGTGCAAAAAAGCTGTCCGTAGGTTAGGTAGAACTTATTCCCCTGAATGCTGACAGCTTCTTGAGGTTTGGATGGGTAGGGCCATGTTTCAGATTGCAGGGTTTAAGGAGGTTTTTTCTGTATGTGAGATGGTTTGGCTTGGACAATCTATCCTGTTGTTAGATTATTATTTATTTTTTTATTTCTAGAGTTTAAGTTTTAAAGAAAGAAGCACAATGCACAAGACCAACAACTTTCCACAACATTTTTGATGTCAAGTTGAAGTATCTTGTGTGTAGCCTATGACCACTGACTGACTTTGGAAATTTAGTATACAGTTTTAGGGGGAGTAACACAGTTGTGCCTTAATTAGCCTTGGTTTGAAAAGTGATCCAAAGCCTTTTTACACTGCTGTCATCTATGAAGCAAACCCATATTCAAGTGTGAACACAGACAGGCTGTCTACAACAACATGGCAAAAAAATGGTTCCTTTATCCCGCTGTGTAATTTATCCCACTGAACTGAAA